AAATCTTTGCACCATTATAATGTATACATACAGACACAATGCTTGGGTATTGATTTCAAGGCGAATTTTATCACGTAAGTAAATCCTTTTTCCAGTCTACGAAATTTTACTCAAAACTACTAGATTTTAGGCAAAAGGTGATGAAAAATAGCTTATGAATAAGTTTTTGTCACATAATACAAAACGTACAGCAAGTTTTATTATCAAAGTATAAGTGGGCACCTAAACCTCAATTTTTAAAGATAAACATTCCTATTTTTGACGAGTGTTTTTGTAGTATATACAAAAGTTTTCTGACAAACTCATGACAGTTATCACAAGAACTCCTGAAAAGTTATCATAAGAACTTCATCCTTCGTGTAACAGTTCCTCCCCGTGTAGGAAGCGCTAAATGATATTATCTAAATAATACGGATTGTGAATTTACATAATGAAACATATAAAATTACGTAATAATGTATAAAATAGTCATGTCATATATCATCTTAATTCAATTGGTTGGTGTATGTACAGTGTACTTGATTTTTGAAGCCATGACTAGCATAATTTTAAGACAATTTTTTCTGGATTTGATTTTTAAAGTTCTATAGTTACTGAAGTTTACAAAGTATATTACGTGGTTATTGATGAATCATTTTGCCATGTTGATTTTTTATCACAAAAGGTCTAAACTATGATGACATAAACGATGCAGGTGTAAAGATCAAATAATAGTGGTTTAAAATTTTTGTAAATAATCATGACATTTAAAAGTTTCATTTTAAGACAATTTTTTACTAAAGTCAACTTTTTTTAGAGGAAGTTTACATATGAGATGTATGTTTTTTGTGTGGAAGAAACAAACATATAAAAAGTGTGTCTTGTCCATTTAGACGTTTTGTCGCAGACGAGGAAGCCAATTTCTAAATACATCAGTGGCAACAAAAAATACCTTTTATGATCAGATATAGCTTTTATTGATATCAGATATGATTTTGTCTCATAAATGTAGCTTTAAAACATACCAACTTCAATCCTGAAGTGTTTTGACAAGTCTGTTTTTTTAGATTTATATACCATTGATGTCATATACCTGGACCAAATACTGTTGTAAAATATCCAGAAATAAGAACATTTAAAGGAAACATTATGTTTGCATTGTATTATATGTAACTACTCACCTGTAGTATAGTATGGAATGCATATTTGTATACCTGTCTGTCAATTGATTAAATGCAATATTAGTACCTATCTCCAACAAATGTCGAATCCTCAGTTTTGCATAAAGCCATAAATGGCCGTATATTAATTGATATTAGTTTCATAAGCAGATGTTTTCAAATATTTCATCCTTATTTAATGTTCTTATTCTGACATATTTTCATTAAATGATCTTAACTACAGAATTTAAGCTTTTTAATACGCATTATTTTAATTGGTTCGTTGTAAATTAATGCTTTTAATTATAACCGATACACTTTTGCCCTGCGAATCGAATTGAATATTGTGGTTTGACTGGGCACGCATTTTTATTCAATCTAAGCATACGAAAATTATGTTTTGATAGGTTATGATAAAAGAAAAGGTAATTTTATGCAAACTATTTCACTTCTTAATACATAATATGATAATCAGTTGATGTTCATATCTACTTTAGAAATATTATATATTAATTTATATTTATATCGTTAAAGCAATACTTAATACAGGAATAACTCTATTTGTTCATTTATATATATACCCTATATAAACCGTTTAAATATCATATGAGTATTGTTTTGCTATAAACTGATGAAAAAGCTAAAACCATGTCCATACAATAACCGGTGCAATGCTGCCATACACAATCATCTTGCAAATGAAAAGGGCGGTGTTTGCATGAATAGTAGCGTGGAACTGATAACGATCGCTAATTGGCTTATCTTTAAGGGCCCTGTCAGTTTGAATGACCGGTTGTGTTGCGTCAGTTACATAAGCGTTATGGTGGAAAATCCCATGGGAATACATTAATATCATGATTATATTGTCTGCGGGAAAATCAAACGTATAACATTAAATCTTGATTGCTCCCATATAAATTAAATTAGTTCAGTAAAATATTTGACTATTCTGTGCTCTCCGATTGCAATTTGTTGACGAAAGTGTTACTATTTACATATAAAATACCTACAGAAAAATTAGATGCAAGCTTTTAACTTTGAAATCGGCGTACAAGCAAACGGAATGTGTTCATATGCACACCGGGTACCTTTCAAAAGTGGCAACATTTTTTTTTTCTCTTTAATCACTATTAAGATTGATCAGTATTTAAAACATAAACAATTTAACACAACTAAAGCTAACGAAATATTAAATATTTCCGGATCATATGTAAAAATGGAAAGAATTAAAATGGACATCTGTGGATAAATTTACAATGTTCCAAAAGGAAAAATATAGAAACCGGGCAAAAATTCGTTAAATAGAGCCTGGAATTCAGGATCTTCGAAAAAAACGAAATTGACATGCATTATGATATGTCGTACTCCACAATGTTTTGCTGTCATTTAGCATTTTACCTAAATAGAGAATTACACATACCGATGACGTCATGTCCGGTTTCGTTCATGTCAGACTTGAATTTCTTGGAAATTTAACAGGAAGCATTGACACAGTGCTGTAAAAGCAGGTAATCTTTATAAGCAAATAATAAGATTCTTTGTATTGAAGCAATGTTAATTATCTGCATTAAAAGCATGAAAAGCCTTAACAACGCGAAATATAATTAGTAATAGAAAGAACATCGAAGCATAAGGCTATCTGATTTGAACGAGGGCGCCTAATCTCCAACACATTATGTGTATGTCTCGATTTTTAAGTTTCAACAGTGTAAAGATAAGTTTGCATTACAATCATTTCCTATAACAAATATTTTCGATTACAAAGATTGCTAGACGAACAAGACACCTTAAACAAGTTTTAGCATACGTATGTTAGGAGCAAATATGATCGTTATTCTCGTTCACCAGCTACTGTTTGCTAACAAGAATCCGATCAATCATTTGGAAAACCATCAATTATACAAGTCATTGCCAAGGTGAACACTATAATATTGTTACATTTTGGATAAAATATATATATAAATGAATTCTAAGAAATCGTATGCTTTTCATTACTATGCCTTAATATATTTTCCTTCAAGTAATTCATTTTCATATTTCATCTAGTATTAACTATTGTGAGGACAATTGTAATATAGTTTGATTAGTTCTTTTTCTTAATTTTCAACTTTTATTTTGAAAAAAAAAAGCCATCAAAATGTTCACCTCGCAACTTCTAGTGTAGTACACTTTAAATGAGTTTTTACCATTGATAAGAATATTGTCACAACAACGCCAATCGTAGAACATGTTTATTAGATTAAATCTTTCATATTGTATACAGATATGTTATGATAAGAGGGAGCTAAAATATTTGTTCTGATGGAAAATAATTGTAATGCTAACTTATCTTAACACTGTTAAAACTTAAAATTATCCCATGAGTACCCAATGGGAAAACAAATTTCATAATTAATGACAAGTTTCACATTTCAAACATACTACACATAGTAACACTATTTACATTCTAAACCTAAATTATTAGAATGGGGAAATTCTCCAGAGGACCTCCAATATGAAAACAAATATTCATAATTAATGACAAATTTTAAAAGCTCCTTTGGGAATATCATATATAAAAGTACAACACATAGGTACATTTTGAATAATTGAATAACGAGGTGATTAAGATTGTAATCGTGTGTTTATAATAGCATTTCATTCATCTAATTCTTAAGTAAATAATTAAATAGGATAATTAAACAGACAAAGAACAGTGAGATCGGTTTAATTGAAACTATAATGTATTCAAGCTGACTTGAGTTCCATCAGTACTGGCTGATTAGTTAGATTCGTTTTCAACACAATCGTCCATATCAAATCTGATTCTTAGGACATTCACATGACGTTATTGTATAAGAACAAATATTTAAACGGAATATGCTCATATTGGTAATTACTTTTTCCACATATTCATAACGTAATTACTTTTATATTCTATCATATTCAAATACTGTTTTGTTGGTTTTATCGTATTGACATAATGAAATTAAAACATTGATATGAATTTACATTATTTGCGTAAACATAATAACAATTATGGAATTATTTAGCTACTAGGTAAATCTTACGTCCTTAATAAAACACTTTTTATATATTTTTCCTGCTTATTCTTAACGTTGCACCAGACATTACTAATGTATTTGGATCTGTAAAGTCCTTTTTAAATATAACTACCTATTTATCATATTTCATCTGAATAATAATTTATATGGAGTTTTAATCATTATGAATAGATACATTACTTTGAATTCAAATGTTCTATATGTTGTCTACCTACTTTTATGTAACATACTTGCTTCTTTGGTTTTCATTTTTTATGAGAAAAATGTAAAAAAACTTGTTTGATCTCTAGATGCAAATATTTTGTCCATACGAGCCTCTTCGCTTATGCAGCAATACTAGTTTTTGAAAATTATAACTTCTAATCGAAAAATACACACTTTAATATCCAATTTTTTTAAAATTTTTATTGATATTTTTTCTGATTCCTATGTCACTTGTTTTCGTACCAAACACTATTTTATAACAGAATATGGCTTTGAACAATATAACCATGAAATTTGCAATTTAGATATTTTAGGAGCTGCCTACAACAAGTTACATTTTACAGAAAACATGCACAGAATATAGTATATATATTTACAAAATACTTTGTGTTATAGATTTAAATTGGTGACGTGAACAGAATGCGTTCCTTTGGATACATTGCAAAGAATTGAATGTTTACAGTAACTGTGAAACAATATTAGAGCCCACAAATAATCTAAAATAAAACAACTATTTATTAAATATTTTCAAACAATACTATCGGATCAATTGTTGAAAATGGAAATAATTAAAATTAACGTCTGTGGACAAATCTACAATGTTCCAAAGCAAATGATAAAAGCTGGACCCGAATCTCGTTTGAAGAGAATCTACAATTTAGGATCTACAGAATCAAATTCAGAATGCTTTATGATAAATCGCACACCAGAAAGTTTTGCCGCCATTTTGGCATTTTATCAAAATGGAGAATTACACATACCGATGACGTCATGTCCAGGTGCGTTCATGGCGGAACTGGAGTATTGGGAGATTTCACCGGAAGCCTTGTCAGAATGCTGTTACAACAGGTAATCTGAAGAACTGAAGAAATAAATTAGACTTTCTTGCATTGCAATTACATGTATTGCTGTAAAGTCCATAAAAAGAGCCATATTTGGTCACATAAGAGAGACTTAGTATAAAGTCCGGAATATTACGCCGATTCCAGGCATTTAATAATTTATAATAAAGTAAATTCGTAATTAAGTAACATTACATAAGTTTATGAATCAATCTTATGCAAACAGCACATTACAATTTAACAACATAACAAAACAAACATATTAATTAAGTATCAGTCAGAGAGTCTCCCTTGTTTGATTATAAGACTGGGATATATAAGCATGGTTATTCAATATGACAACATATTTGATCTATCTAATATCAAGTTAACATTTGATAAAACCAGCCTTTTATCAAACGCTCAGATTAAATTACTTGCCAGTCTATATGAAAGATGTATATTTCTAGACGAATAAACATCAAGTAAATATGAGTCTAACTATGTTTAGTTTTGCTATATACCTATATGATATATACTTGATTCTTATGATATTATACTTCGGGATGACATTCCTCTTCTATTGTTCGCTGTAGACATAATTTACACAAACTTTCATTTCTTAAAACATTTATGTGCATACAGTCTTTTTTGACAACCTTATTTCACACGTTTATCTTTTATTTTCAATTCACATAAAATACACTAGCATTTCAAGGCTTTGCTAAACATAGAAGAAGAACTGTAATACGTACACACTCTCCATTCAATAATATACAGTAAAAATAACTGTTATTATATTTTGATAATGTCAAACATGATTGTGTTAATATCAACAAAACGCAAAAACAGCTTTATTTCTCCAAAGTAACATTTGTCTTACAGTGTCCCCAAATTGCCAGACATATCTTGCTTCCCATTCCAAATGCTGAAATTTGAATTTGTTAAGAGGCAATCTATCCATTCCCTGTATTAGTGCAAATAAGTCTTACCTCAAATGTTACAAATAATCAAAATCATTGAAGAATAGCTTGTATTGCATCATTTCTTAGCAAATAAAAACATCTTAGATTACAGAAATTTCTAGATGAACAAGAAACTTTGAGTAAGTTTAGACAGACGTATGTAAAGAGCAAAGAAATCAGTAAGCCAGTATCACCGTCAAGTGGTTGCTTACAGAGATTCCGTACTAACATTTGGGAAACAATTAACTATAACAGACCTTCTGTCGCCGGCAAGGTAAACTCAATTGTTAATTTTTTAAGCTTTTAACACATTTATTCTTCATATCAGAGTAATGAAATGTGGCTTGAGTATTATTGTCATTGATGTATACATGTATATGAACGAGATAAACACTTTACAATCGTTATGTACATATTCTAATTATCTAATAACTGATCAATCCATTTTTTACAAGGAATTCGATACATGTGATAAACATCACTATATAAATGACCAAAAACTTTAATATTTTCCTCACGAATAACAATTAAACTGATATCTATAAATCGGTTGTAAGATTGTTGTCTTTTATTTCAGATTTACTTATTCGTGGCGTTTATTATGGTTCTCATGTCCATATTTGTTCTGGCATATAGTACAGACCAATCCTTCCACAGGGAATTGACGAACTGTGAGCGTCTACAGTACCTGGACTATAGAGGTTTGAAGGTTATGAGTCTATCAAACCATATCTTGAGGAATTATGTACTCTAGGTGACGAACCTGTACTTTCGGAAAGTCTGATTAAAAAGCTCAATTTGAGTGACATCGAAAATATACTTCTAAGGGAAAGCAAAGATGATGGTGGAAACTTGAAACGTTTTGTGTTTACATTTATTCATAAACGATTAATGACGACGAATAAAGTTGAGGAATTAGAGGCCGAGATATCTTACCCAGATTGGCTTGCCGAATACGACTTTGAAAACAGTACAGAAGATAAAAATACATCCTCCTTAATTGAATACCCACAACAGCTACACGCAAAAAATTTAAAACCTATTCCCGTAGGTGAAATATTTACATCGCAAAAAGATTTCATAGTTCCGAATATCAAAATTAAAATGTTTACCCTGATTATTTTTGAGGGTTTGACAACAATTTTCTTCACTATTGAATTTGTGTTACGCCTATCTACATGTCCAAATTTTAAAGTGTATTTCTTGTCAGTGATAGATTGTTCAGATGCATTGTCTCTTCTGGGTTCTTATCTTTATTTCTTTCTCTATTTGATGTTTCCACACTTACGATACGGTAGTTGGAATGATTATTTGGCTTACTTACAAACATTAAGATCTTTGCGTTTCTTCCGCTTGGTTCTGAATATGAGAGCTGGAATCGTTTTGGCGTATTCTGTTCGTAGAAATATCAAGGATCTAGTAATTTTGATATTGTTTTTATTTGCTGGAATGTGCACTTTTGGAACATGTATCTACATAGCAGAAGATAACGCAAAAATAGAGAGCATACCAGACGCTTGGTATTTGTCTATTGTAACCATGACAACGGTTGGTTATGGTGACATTTATCCTGAAACAAAAATTGGTAGATTCATTTGTTGTCTGTGCGCCGTAGCTGGTGTTGTTCTGCTCGCAATGACAGTACCAATGTTTGCAAATCACTTTCTAATACTATATAATCATACTGAAACGGAAAATGTCATTGAAAAATATAAGCAAAAGAAAACGATGAATAGAAACAATAGAATAGTATATCAATAATCAGAAAACAACTATTAAAAGTTTATCAAAACTGCTTTTAATAACACATTTTAAAACATTGTTTTGTCAAATTGCAAGATAAAAAAAAACTTGTTCATGCCGCAATTATATATGTCAGACGGTTAGGCTACTATTGCGTAACTTCTTGAAATTTGTATATATAATTTATGCAGACGCATTTCCGAAAAGCAGTGCGCTGAAATATCATTTGAAATTCTGCACCAAATTCTCCATACTTTACTTTAAATGACAATGCAAACAAAGATTGATTTTTTTAATATAATTGCATTTATGTACGATGTATTAGTGTATGCAAAACACTTTTATTTAGTGACTATGAACTTGCTCAATCAAACCGAGTTTGCAACATTTCTATATTTTGACGTTTTGGACGTTGTTTAAGGATTCTGTTTTTCTCTTTTTGATTTTTGAGCTCTATATATAAACATAAATGTTATCAATCTTTCTGTAATATATCTGTATTTTTAAGGTCTTAAATTCAAACTAACTACTTTGTAAGATATGTTTTTATAAGTTATACAAATAATACTTTGCAAATGTAATTAATCCCATTTTTAAATTGTTGATGCTTTTATTGGTATATTTTTGTTGTATAGAATATAATAACTAACAGAAATATTTTTGTTGTGTTAATGTTGTTGTTGTTATTTTTCTAATGATTCGGACCAACGCTATAGAGTACGTATTAAATTACATATTTGTTACTTAGTTTGTAATTCAAAGGTATTGACTCAGGTTAAACTTCTGAAACATGAAAGAAAGAACTTTATTTGAAGACAAATAAATATAATTTGTCATCTATAAAATACATCCTTTATGCAATACGGATAAGTGAAGCAATTTTGCCTGTAAACGACTGACTTACAATGCACAACTCACATGGATAATAATTATCGTTTAAGAAAATAAGTGGAGCCTTGCTAATCCGAGCCCTTCTAATCCGGGATCCTTTCTAATCCGAACAATGTGTCCAGTCCCATTTGTTTTCGTTGTATTTCTAATAGTATAAATTAAACCTTTCGTATCAGGAACCTGTCTTTTCCGAATTCCGGACGATTTTTTTTATATTTTTGTTCTTGTTTTGCACTGAAATTAATCTCCCGGATCCGAACAGATTTTGTACTATTAACAGGGTTTTTATATAAAAAGTAAGTTTAACCAAGTAAAGAAAATGAATAAAAATCGCTTATTGACAGCTATAACGAATAGCAAGTTACCATTGATTTTCAAATTAAATGTTATCATATTTTGTAAGCTCTCGACTTAACTTCTTTTGTGCACTTCCGCTTGTATAACTTGAATGCAAAAATGTATATGTAATAAAGCAAAAATATTATTATGCAAGAATATGAAAAAGTGAAAATGTAACAACGCGAAAAAGGTGACTCACGA